GCGCCCCTGCCTTCTACAGGTACCGCGCCCATCAGGTGGCCGCGCCGCCGGGGACTGGGAGGGAGCGGGCAAGGGCGCAGGCCACCGCACCGGCCATTCGTAGTGCAGCCCGCGTCCTCACTTTGGCGGCCCAGATAAAGGGCTCTCCACCCCCTGCTGGTGTTCGAGAGGCGGACCGGAGCCGGGGCTACCTAGCTGAGCAAGTGCTGAAAACTGCGGGGAAGCGGCAGTTACTTGTGAGGGGAAAGCACCCTGACGCAAGTAAAACCCCAGGCGCTCCGGGTTATAGGGAAGGCCTTACTTCGCTATTGAAATCAGGAGTCCTTCGGGGTTAGGGCGAGTTCAGGGGTGTTTTATTTATTATTTTATTAATTTTGCTTTAATATGCTGGAGAAATTTTCCTTTCATCTAGAGTTTTGCACTGGATACCTGAAAGCTATGATGGTGATGATTCTTTCAGGGAAAGCGGCTCCTTTCATCCACCCTTTTCCTCCTTCCCATCCCACCTTCCTTGGAGGGCTGTGCGTTGAATCGCACTGCTTAGAAGAGCCATACAGGAGTTAAATGGGTCTCCACAAGTTTCTGATTTCTGACTTGAGTTTCTGGAAGAGGCGGTGTTGAAGTTGAGTGCTGGCATGTGACTTCCGAAGCTGGAATGTAGAGGTAGCATGCCACATCGAAGCATCGGTGCTTCGAAGACCTCCTGCCAGCTGAGTTCCATGTCTGCTGGCCCAGGGGCACAGAAGCGCCTGGGTTAGCTGGGCCCCGGCTCACAGCCTCTGGAAGAAGCGTGAGCAGTCCGGGACACAGGACTTAAGTGGTCATTGTTTTGTGTCCTCATTTTGTTTCTCTTCTAGTTGAGATCATTCCTTCTGCCTCCCTCTTTCCTCTCTTTCCCTCTGACATCCCTGTCTCCTGCTGAGCCTGCAGAGAGCTGAGGTGGGCGGTTCCGGTGACCGCCTTTGTGGGGAGCCTACCGCTATGGGGATAGCAGGGTTGGGCTCCTGAGCTCCCAGGCCTCAGAGAGCCCACATGGGAGCTAAATTGGGCACTTCCCGACTGTACACTGGCACAGGCATCTGGAGTTGCCTCGTGCTTTCGCCACATCTTCTGCACTGGGAGCCACGGGCCGTTTTCTGCTCAGTGTTGGATTTCCAGGGATATTTATAGCAGGAGAAACCGGACGAAGGTGCGGGTTGGCCCCAAGATCCTGACCGGCAGACTCTTGGGGTGTTCAAACACACATCTTCAGCCCTGCTTTTGGGACTTTAGAGCATCCCACAGCCAGCAGGTCCAGGCTAAGTTATTACTTAAAAGATTAACAGCGAATAAAACTTTACAAAGTTGATGTATTCAAATTAACTTCACTTGTTTTAATTCAGGGTTAAACTGGATGGAGGAAAGATTTTCTTCTGCTTACTTTTTTTTTCATCTAGAAGAACAAATTATAGCGATTACATGTGATTCTCACATTTAAAACTTGATGTGAAGGAAGGCATTAGTAGGATGTGAATTCCATAACCTTGTGGTGGACTTCCGAAACCATTTTCTCTTCCATTTAATTTTCATTTCTTTTATTGCAAATTAATGCCACTGAATTTCAATGGACACTAATGAGACTGCTCCTTGGAGGATTATTTACTGCCTTGGTAATAATTATGAAGTGAGCATGGTCAAATAAGGAGGGGATCACATTTTATTCAAAGCTGTTCATCAGCCCAGTGGCAAATAATATCACTAGTATACCCCCCTTATGAAACTTTTTCATTAAGTGATGTTCGAGTATTTTTAGAATAATAGAAAATGCCACAAACTTTAAAAACTAAAGTAAGAAAATTCACGTAAGTGGACTTTGGTGTGGAAATTCAGTTTTAGAATTTTTTTTTTTCTGTCTGGTTTATTTCCTATCACAACCTGCTCTTTCGTTTGCATTCTACCTCTACTTTAAGAGGGAGGAAAGGATACCTTGAGTAGTTCAAATAGACAGATGCTATTTAATAATTTTTCTTCTCAGTTTTCCTGTTTGAATAACTCTGGATAAAAAGATAACCGTTCATCAGGCTCTTAAAATTTTTTTTATCCCTCTCAACTAGTTCTCAAAAGTAGTGGGGCTCAAAGTGATGTTTTCACACTGCCTATCCAGAAGATCAAGAATCAGTTTAGTGAGACCAGAACATTTTTTTCTAAAAGAAGAGAAGAATATGGTAGAAAACATGAGACTGCATGGTATTTAGTAAGGGTATTTTGTTTCCTGAAAATTTCTTTTAATTTTGTGTGCTTGTGCTGATTGTGACATAAGATGTGTGTTGAGGTTAAAAAAAAAGTTTGAAAGACACAGATCTAAAATCTTGTGTTCAGTAGCGAACATAAAACACGGGCAAGTGGCTGTGGTTTTATCTACATAAAGAAAAAGCTAATTTGGTCGTCTCGATTTTCCCCTCATACATTAGGCTCGTATCTTTAGGTCAGTAGTACAAAGCTTTTCTATTCCTGAGTTTTATGTTTTCCATTTGTAGAAGGGTGATATCATGTGGGTTTTTCACATGAATGCCCCACTGTGGTGTTCAGAGAATTGTGTGAGGTTCAACTTGTTTAACATTAAGATGCTATGGCTATTTTCTTCCTTTGACTACGATATGTAGCCATATTTGCGTATGAAAAAAGTAACAGATAAAATTGTTCGGGGCATTAATGATGTCGGAAAGATTGCCACATATCCCAACAAATTGTTACTAAGAGATAAAGAGTTTGTTATTAGGCAAGCTTGGGTTTTGCAAGACTTTTTCTTTCCTAAAACTTCATGATGGAGGCAACTGAGAGTTATTTTATCACGGGTTCCTTTCTAGGGATCAATTTAGAGGCTTTGGATGAAACTAAAATCAAAACAGTCATATTGACTAAATTTTAAAAATTCAAAGTAACTATTTAGTGCTGCATGCTTATTTCAGTTTTATCACTCAGTATTTCTAAAGGCTGAATATTGATTACTTCTAAAAAACAAAACAAAACAAAACAAAAAAACCCAAAGAACAAAATCTCAACAAATGAGGATATGAACCTCTAAAGCAAAGTCAAAGCTCTGGTAATTTGTATGCTAGCTATCTGCATATTTTGGACTACTAGTTTGTCTATGGTGATCATTTAGAGCTATTTTTCAACTTTGAACAGAGGATCCTTTCCAAGCATAGATTTAAGTGGCTAATGTTAAAATTTGCAATAATTCTTTCCTTCTGTTTGAATGATATTAAAGCCCCTTTTCTTCTGTTCTAACTTTTTTCACCCATTTAAATTGTAACTGATTATTTGACACCGTGCTGGTTTAAGAATAGGTCCAAAGAGCCACAGATTGCCTGGGGAACGAGTATATGTTCAGATGAAAACAGAATCACATCTCCAGTCTCTAGTCCATTTTCACCTTCTCCATGTGGCTTGTACCTGTTTGGTAGAAAGCTTCTGAAGGATAATTGCCACTTATTCTAATCTTTCTCACACTGTTAATTTGGATCCCTGGCTATAATTATTTGTTCTTTACTTTTGTGAATATATTTAAGCTCTGATGGCTTACAGTTTGAGAAAATCAGGTTGATGATTTTGGTTTCTTATACTTTTAAGGATGTAAAAAACAGGGACAAGAAATTGCTAATGGCAACAAGAATAACAGTGAAAACTATAAAAAATGTCAAACTTTCTATTAATAATGAGAAAATAAATACTAATTTTATCAAGTGAGATTGTATATATGAAAGTAGTATGTAAGCTATATAAACATTCAATATTTTAATTACTTTATCCATGCACTAATATTTGTTTGGGTGCTTTTGTTGGCTAAAAAGCAGGAATAGCAGATTTAAGTGGCCAGGATGTTGTGGATATAAAATGATGATAATGTAAATCTTTTTCTGTGGAAGACACGTTTTGGTAACATCTTCATCACCAAGGTGCAACATTTGTGTGCAGCATGGTTTGTCATAAAGAACATTTATAGCTGCATTTTAAAAATGTCAAAAATCTGACCAGTAATGTGAAAATGATTTTCCACAAAGCAACACATGAATCTTAATTGTCTTTCTCTCAACTACATACTCGGTACAAAACTAATACATGTCACACCTCCCTGTGACTCCAATATTATTTTTGGTGTAACTTTAGAAGATCCTGGTTGAGAAAGCAGCATGCCGTGTGTATATGTGCTTTTCTAGGAGGCTGAATGGAGAGGAGCAGGTTGGTCTTTTAGTTTGATGCTTTGCTTATCTGAGAAAGGAAATACAGAGTGCCTGCATTTGTTTGGAACCAAAATGCGTACCGCTGGGAAAGATGCTATATAAATCCGAAATATACAGCCACGTGTGCACCAACTAACCAAAGTGAAAGGGATCTCAGAGAAGGAGGCAGTTCATCAAAGACATGGAGTAGTTCTATTTTATATTGTCCACTCGGTCAGTGAATTGATGGACAGTGTAATTAAAAAACATATAAAAACATTTCCGAATTGTTCCCTTCTCTACTCCTAAAACACCTTCACCCTGTGTTCTGAAAGCAGAGGACCTATTGGATGGAAGTCCAGGTTAACACTTTTATGATATTCTAAATCTCATGGGGGAAAGAAACCGTAATTGCTGAGTTGTATGCCTTGGAGAATAGTATTAGGAATTATGAGGAAAGTTTTATGTGAATCAACAGTGTTTTAAATTATGTGTATTTTTAAACACACACAGGATAGAAAGATAACTATTTTGATCCCAAAAAAGAATATTTTTTGTATTTTAATAAAGTAGTAACTTTATAAAGGATTTGGTTAAAAAAAATGCAGTGCGGCTGCTATGTCTACGTGATGTTGTGGCGTGGTGGTGGCAATCCAGGATTGGTGGATGATGGTGACGATGTAATCATGGCAGTTAGGTGTTGGGCTCATTTTGGGTTGGTAGTATTTCTGGATGTCTGTTTTTATAGCCTAGAAATGTTTATACAGACACAGAATCCTTTGAATATACTTGCTTCATTTTCATGTAGTTATAGTTT